GGATCCCCACCCAAATCTCACCTTGAATTGTAGCTCCCATAATTCCCATACGTTGCAGAAGGGACCTGATGAGAGGTAACTGAATCATGGGGGAAGGGCTTTCCCATTCTGTTCTGGTGCTAATAAGTCTCACAAGATATGATGGTCTTATAAAGGGGAGTTCCCATGCACATGCTCCAGTCGGCAGCCATGTAAGACATGACTTTGCTCCTCCTTGGCCTTCCACCATAATTGTGAGGCACCCCCAGCCATGTGGAACTGTGAGTCCATTAAACCTCTTCCCTTTATAAATTACCCAGTCTCAGTTGTCTTTATCTGCAGCATGAGAACAGACTAATACAGTAAATTGGTACCCAGAGTAGGATGCTACCATCAAGATACCTGAAAATGTGGGAGTGACTTTGGAAATGGGTAACAAGCAGACGGTGGAAGAGTTTGGATGGCTCAGAAGACAGGAAGATGTGGGAAACTTTGGAACCTTCTAGAGATTTGTTGAATGACTTTGACCAAAATTTTGACAGTGATATAGACAACAAAATTCAGGCTGAGGTGGTCTCAGATGGAGATGAGGAACTTACTAGGAACTGGAATAAAGGTCACTCTTGCTATGCAAAGAGACTGGCAGCATTTTGCCCCTCCCTTAGAGATCTGTGGAACTCTGAACTTGAAAGAGATGATTTAGGGTACCTGGCAGAAGAAATTTCTAAGTGGCAAAGCATCCTAGAGGTGACTGAGCATAAAAATTCGGGAAATTTGCAGGCTGATAATGTGGTAGAAAAGAAAACCCCACTTTCTGGAGAGAAATTCAAGCTGGCTGCAGAAATTTACATAAGTAACCAGGAGCCAAATGTTAATTGACAAGACAGAAAATGGGGAAAACTGTCTTCAGGGCATGTCAGAGACCTTCATGGAAGCCCCTCCCATCAGAGGCTTGCAGGCCTAGAGGGAAAAAATGGTTTCCTGGATGGGTACAGGCCCCCCCTGCTCTGCACAGTCTCAGGACTTGGTGCCCTGTGTCCCAGCCACAGCTAAAGGAGCCAAGGTACAGCTCAGGCCATGGCTTTGAAGGATGCAAGCCCCAGGCCTTCACAGCTTCCACCTGGTGTTGGTTCTGTGGGTGTGGAGAAGAGCAAAACTGATGTTTGGGAACCTCTGCCTAGATTTCAGAGGATATACGGTTATACCATGATGTCCACGCAGAGGTGTGCTGCAGGGGCAGAGCTCTCCTGGAGAACCTCTGCTGGGGCAGTGTGGGAGGGGAGTATGGCTGCCCCAATAGGGGGTTCCCACACAGAGTCCCCACCAGGGCACCACCTGGTGGAGCTGTGAGAAAAAGGCCACTGTCCTCCAGACCCCAGAATGGTAGATCCACTGACAGCTTGCACCCTGTGCCTGGAAAAGCCACAGATACTGAATGCCAGCCCATGAAAGCAGCCAGGAGGGGAGCTGTACCCTGCAAAGCCACAGGGGCAGAGCTGCCCAAGACCATGGGAACCCGCCTCTTGCATCAGCGTGACCTGGATGTGAGACATGGAGTCAAAGGAGATCATTTCGGAGTTTTAAGATTTGACTGTCCTGTTGGATTTTGGACTTGCCTGAGGCCTACAGCCCCTTCATTTTGGCCAATTTCTCTCATTTGCAGTAGGTGTATTTACCCAATACCTTTAACCCCACTGTATCTAGGAAGTAACTAACTTGCTTTTGATTTTACAGGCTCATAGGCAGAAGGGACTTTCCTTGTCTGAGATGATGCTCTGGACTGAGGACTTCTGAGTTAATGCTGGAATGAGTTAAGACTTTAGGGGACTATTGAGAAGGTATGATTGGTTTTGAAATGTGAGAATATGAGATTAGGGAGGGGTTGGGGTGGGTTGATATGGTTAGGCTCTGTGTCTCCACCCAAATCCCATCTTGAATTGCCACTCTCCTAACTCCCATGTGTTGTGGGAGGGACCTGGTGGAAGGTTATTGAATCATGGGGAAGGGTCTTTCCCATGCTGTTCTTGTGATTGTGAATAAGTCTCACAAGATCTGAATGGTCTTATAAAGGGGAGTTCCCCTGCACATGCTCTCTTGTCTGCCACCATGTAAGACGTGACTTTGTTCCTCACTTGCCTCTAGCACAATTATGAGGCCTCCCCAGCCATGTGGAACTCTGAGTAAATTAGGACTTTTTTCTTTATAAATTACCCAGTCTTGGGTATGTCTTTTTTAGCAGTGTGAGAAAAGACTAACACAATGTAATCCTACCACCAAAAATACCTAGTGTTATTTTGGGATATTTCAATCTGGCTTTTTTTCCCCATGAATGCAATAGGTTTTAACAAAGCTTTAATTAGACACAAGCAAATATACATACATGCAATGTTGTTTTCTCTTAATTTGATCTCATAAGCATTTTCCATGTAATTACAATACATTCTCTTCACAAGCAATATTTTTAATGACTCCAGGCCAGTCCAAGAAATGGGTTTCCCATTACTTGCCTAATTCTTCCCCTATTGTCCCATGTTGTAGTTTCGTACTTGCTTCACTAAGTTAAATGTTATTAATATAAGTATCTTTAGGTTGCTCATACTTAGTTCCAGTCGCTTTCCTAAAAGTATGCATTGATCAATGTACTCTTTGAGGGTTGTTTCTAGACAGCCCACTGTGCTCCAAATGAAAACCAACATCCCAGAGGTTCTCCCCTTATTCAGTCCACTTCATGAAGCTTTAGGAAGGGAACATTTGAATCTCTGCTACTTGCCAGGCTCTGTTCTGCATGTTTAATGTTATCTCAATTATTCAAATCTAAGTTTCAAGACTTCAGCAATCATCTAGGCTTTTCATTCATTAAAAGTAGTACTGCATGCTTACATAGTGCCAGGTACTTGTAACATAGTAGTAGGCAAAACCAAACTCCCTCAGGAGTACTCACCCTGTCTCAAAGGCACTCCAAGATGTTAAAAAGTAGCCACTCCATTTCTGTACTACTTTGATAATAAAACATTTCAATGGCTCCCATTACACTTCAAATGAAATCCAAATTCTTTTCCCTAGCCCACAAAGCTCCACCTCAGCTGGCTTTGCCTACCCCTCCAATACCATCCCCAGACATGCTATCCTTATCTATTAGGCCTCACCATTTGAATACTCTAAGCTCTTTCCACGTGAGCTATTCACCATGACTGAACCTCCCACTCTGATCATCAAAAATTCAAGCCCCTTCCCATCTTTTAGGTCTTAGCTGAAATGTCACCTCTTTATGGCTTTCCTTGGTCACTCCATCTAAGAGGTTCACGGATATTTCCCTACTCTGCCATATCTTCAGTTTGTTTCTTTCATAGCACTTATTCACTGCAACTGTCTGTTGGCATTTCTTCCCTAATTGAGATGGGGTTTTGCTTATTCGCCACTTTATCTACAAATCCTACCACAGTACCCAGTGGGCAGAATCCATGGCAGATAAACTGTGTGCTGCATAAATGAAATGTTTTTCCTTCACTTGGAATGAAATTTAGTTTCTTCAAACTTCCACCTATTGATCCTAATTTTACTCTTTATAAATACATTGGGAAAAAAAGTATACTGCATGTGTATCATATCATACTTTAAATAAATATATATTTGTTAACTGCAGCACTCACCTGGTTTTTAGCAACTGCAACCTTTGCTGACTTCAGAGAGACTATCAAGAACCAGGTGAGGGCATGGACTTCCAGGTGACATCACCTGGGTTGGAACGTGAGCTCCAAAACTTACACAAAATGGATCTCACTTGTGTGACTTTGAACTAGTTCTCTAACCTCTTGGTATCCCTGTTCCCTCATTTGGAAAACTAGGATAAGGCTTCAATTGCTTTGAGAATCAAATGGGATAATGTAGGTAAAGAGCTTACCCCAGTTTCTGGCACAGGAACGTTAGTTGACAAACTACTACTGCTGTCTCACCAGCTAAACAGGAAAGCTCCTTGAAAGTGGTAACATTATTTCTTTACATTTCTAAGAGGTAGCTATACAAGATTAAACAAATCTAGATTTAAAGCCATCATCCTACAAGTCTGGCTAAGACATCCCTTTCTTCCATATATTCCCATAACACACTGAACCTAGCCCACCTGTTATTTATCCCAACAGTCATTTTACTATTTTGTCTCCAACACCTGACCCTTAGGAGCAGCTCTATCTTGTTCACCAGGTTATCCTCAACACCTGCAACACCAAAATTGGGTAACTAATAAAGCACTTCTGCCTTCCATTCACCCCACGATAATAATTTTTAAAATTATTTATTGTCTGTCTCTGCCCACTCCCACACAATGAAAACGCAGGCAGCCAATCTGTGTCTTGTTAACTGCTATATCTAGTAACCCCTACTAGAGGCTCCAAAATATTTGGTAAAAGATGTTTTATGTTGATTCTCGCAGTTTTCTGCTACGGAATTAAATACTAAGCCTGTCTACTGACTCCACAGAATTGTTGATGGGCTATGTGCGCTCTTCAATATATCTTCAAAGCCTAGGCTTGGAGTAGAAAAAGCAGATTATGTATTGAATGAACAGATGGACTTGTCATTTTCTAAGACTGAAAAGAGATGCAACAAAATGACAAACGTAGTATTGAATAGAAAGGCTGTGAGAGACTTGAGTAAGGTTTTGTTGTGTTACATACATACATTAACTCCCGACATCTCTACAGTAGTTATACTATTTTAAAGTAGTTAACAGTGAATAATGTTACCTCTTTTTTCTTTTAAGTAAATGAGTGTGCAAAAGACAACGAGTCAGGTACCCTCTCGTTCCCCAGCCTGTCTCTTACGACCTGCCAATACAGGCGTCGCCTTGACACCTAGCTCGCTGGTGGCCTGGGAGCCCCGCGCTACCTCTCAGACCTGGCTGCCAGTAACCCGAGGGCAGTCCAACGCGAAAAACCGGAAGACAGCTAGAGCAGAGCACCCCCACGGGCTACAGTATCGGATGTCGGCACTCCAAGCAACCCACCACACCGCCCCGCACTCACCACCAGCGAGGCCATGAATCCCGGCCGATCCATGGTACCGCAGACCTCGTCAAGACTACCACCCAAGTCAAACCAGAGACGGATAGCGTCCTCGTGCGCTGGGCGTCGCCATCTTTGAGGCGGGCCTGTCTTGCACTTCCGGGAACACGTGACGTAGAAGCACAACAACTGCACGTGCGACGCTGGGGAGGGGTGCCAAGAGGAGGGCCAGAGAGGAGGGGCGGGGCCTCAGGGAGCGTGGTCGAGCTGAGTCTCGGCAATTTTCTTACTTTAGTTTCCTGCAGCAGCCTTGTGAGCAGCTAGACGGAGGAACTCTCGCGAGCAAATGATCCTCGGCTGGGATCCAGGAAAGGACAACCCTAGAATGAGGCCGAAGTGATCCTGCACTGTAAACCCAAAAGAGGCGTGGCTATGGCGGAGGAGAGTCGTGAGGGGCAGGACTAACCTCGGCAGGCGAGATTCGGCATCCTATTCGGGTGTTTCATTTTGGTTTATCTTTTAGTTTTGTAAACAAATTTTATCCGAATTTATATTAAATTAACTTATCTGAAGGTTATTACATAAAGATATAGAAAAATACTTCAAAAATTTCCTTACCAGAGCTAAAAATTAACCTCTTCCATTTTTCCTTACACGCAGCTATTGCACTTAAAATTGTTTGTTCACTTGCTTACCTGCTCATGTGGTTCGCTGTTGTACCCATGTGTACACTTCAAAGCACACGTTATTAAGTACTTAATAAGATTTCTTGGAGTGAACCTCTTTATATTTATTAAACAAATACCTTGTAAACTTCTGTGTATATTAAGGGCCAGCTGCATCGCAGACGTGCTGCCAAGTGATTGACAGACATTATTTTCATTTAATCCTTTCACCAACCCTGTGCTGTCAGCACCACTACTGTCCTCATTTTACAGAGGCTCCTGAAGTCTCCAACAAGTAACAAACCCAGTATTGGCTACAGAGAACATAGCAGAGTGAGCACTGAAAATATACTTACTGCCCTCATCATCTCTCCTGAAAACCCTTATAATAGCCTGAGCAGGCTCCTTGCCTGGCCTTTCTTCAATCCCTATTCTATAACACTGCTAGACCTATTCTTATAATTATTCTTACTCTTTTCTAGGTAAAATGATCTAGAAATTATTTGCAGAATAGCTTTGAGTGTTAGATGAAATTCAGATTCTGAGCTATCACCTGCTGGATTTGGGCATAAGTTTCCCAAGATTGAGTTTTCTCCTCCGTAAAGTGCTAATAATGATAGTAACTTTTTCATGCAGTACTGTTATATTAATAGATTAGACGAGATAATGCACTCAAGTTCTTAGCCTAGTTCCTGGCTCATAGAAAGTACTCCCTAAAGATGATTGTAATGTCATTTCCCTGCTTACAGCTCCCCTCTGCTGCCAGTAGAGACAGTCCAGCTCCCTATCATGGTCTATACCTCTCAGCTGGTGTCTCCTGTCACTCTTCCCACTAGCCAGACTACACACAGACAGATTATACACTTTTGAGCCTCCTCATTTTGCCTATGTTGTTCTCTCTACCCAGAATACCTTTGCCTATGCTGCCTGTAGGCCCTCTGAAAACATGCTAGTTCACTTTGTCAAGGCCAGCAGAAGAATCTCTGTTGCTGCTGTTTCTGTCTTTAAAAGGCTCATGTGTTTTGGTCAGGCCTACCCAGGATAATTTCCATTTTTATTAACTTAAAGTCAACTAATTAGACACCTTAATTATATCTGCAAAATCCCTTTTGCTATATACTATAACATAATTCTGGTGGTAATGTACTATCATACTCACAGGTCCTGCTGACATTCAATGGGGTGATTATGCAAAACACATTCGCGGCCAGGACTCTTGAGGACCACCTTAGAATCCTGCCTACTTCATATTCCTATATACCCTACCAGCAGGCTCCTCAAAGGCCATCAAAGTTCTATCAATAAGCTTTCACTGACATTCCCCTCAGTCTTCCCACCTTTCACCTACTGCCTGGTGCCAATGGCACTCCCACAGTTTAGGAATTACAGTAGTAGCCACCTCCAAGTACCAAAATCTATATTGTTTGTCTATTTCTGCATAACAAATTACCCCCAAAATTTAACACACTAAAGCAACAATAAACTTGTATTACCTCACACAGTTTTCATATGTCAAGAATCAAGGAGTCTTTTAGCTGGCTGGTTCAGACTCAGAAATTTTCATGACACTACAGTCAAGATGGTGGCCAGGACTATATCATAAGACTTGATTGGGACTGGAGGATCCAATTCCAAGATGGTTCACTCCCATAACTGGCAAATTAGTGCTATCTATTGGCAGGTGGCCTTAATTCCTCATGGCATAGATCTCTCCATGTGCTGCGTGAGTGTTTTCATGATGTAATAGCTGGTTTTTCCTAGAGTAAGTGGTCTGAAAGAGAACAAGAGAGAAACTACAAAGTCTTTTATGACCTGTCCTCATAATTTACTCAGTTGTTATTCCAGCGATTGTCTATTGATTACACAGGTCATCCACATTTATTATGGGACTGGACTACACAAAAGCATAAATACCAGAAGATGAGGATCACTGGGTGCCATCTTGGAAACTGGCTACCACATCAAGGAAATGCTGGTGAACACCTCCATGAGTTATGAATACTCTTTAGAGTGGCTAAAATTGAAAAGACCAAGTGTTGACAAAGATGAGGAGCAACGGGAAATCTCATACATTGCTGTTTGGAATTTAATATGGTACAATCATTGTAAAATCCAATGCTCCACGTCCGTATTTACCCAAGAGAACTAAACGTTTATACAAATACTTTTACATTATATTTCAAAGCAGCTTTATCCATAATAGTCAAAAAATGAAAACCTGAATATCTATCAGTGAGTGAGTATATGTATAAACATATTACAGTACATCCTTACAATGGAACATCACTCAACAATGAAAGGATATGAATTACTGATACATGAAACAACATAGATTGATCTGAAAGCATTATGCTATGTAAAAAAAAAAAAGAGACTACTTATATTACAATTCCACTTACGTGAAATTGCAGAAAAGACAAAATTATAGTGACAGAAAATAGATCAGTAGTTTCCAGGGGGTGAAGGTAGAGGCAAAGGATTGACTACAAAGTGGACACAAAAGAATATTTTCAATTATGAAGATATTCTCTATTATTATTGTGATAGTAGTTACATGGGTATATACATTTACTAAAATGCATTGACTTGCACAATTAGAATGGTTATACTTAGTATATGTAAACTATAAGGTGGCTCATGCCTGTAATCCCAACACTTTGCAAGGCCGAAATGGACGGATCACCTGAGATCAGAAGTTCAAGACCAGCCTGGTCAAAATGGTGAAACCCTGTCTCTACTAAAAATGCAAAAAATTAGCCACATGTGGTAATGCACACCTGTAGTCCCAACTACAGAAGGCTGAGGCAGAAGACTCACTTGAACCCAGGAGGCGGAGGTTGCAGTGAGCTGAGATTGTGTCACTGCACTCCAGCCTGGGCGACAGAGCGAGACACCATATCAAAAACAAAAAAAGTATATGTAAACTATAACTCAATAAAGTTGATTAAAACATTACTATATTACATGATGATGAGGATTAATAATACATGCACAGAAATTTTTAGTCCAGTGATTGGCATATAGAAAATATTGAGTTTATTCTGTATTTTCCTATTTAAGTTAGATATTCTGAATATTATGAATGAGAGACTGCTAAGTTATCAAGATGCATAAGTACTTTGTGACACATACTACTATAACTTCCTAAGTGAAAATAAATCTTGTTTCTAGCTACTAATGTTCCTGGAGGTTTTTAATGTAATTCCTTCCCTAAGAGAAAATTTAACCCAGACTTACAACATTAATTTTGATTTAATACATCCTTTGAAGTCTAATCAAGAAAAAAACTCTTTTCCTCTTCAATGCAATGATTGTCTTTAACTTTGTAAGAAAAAATTGTGTTGATGTCATTTTCTGGTAACCTGGAGGGAAATGTAATTTATCAGGTACTTTTCAAAATCAAGGAGAAATACATATTCTCTCCTTTTATGCAAGGTAAAGGCTTTACTAATTATTACATGAGACCACTGGAAGCCCTTTGGAAAGTACAGATATTACAAACATGACCTAGGGCCTCCTTTTCATGAAATGCTAGCAGGAAGACTCATTACTGCTTGTGCATGCTTTTTAAGTGGAATATTTCAGTGTATCATCATTATCACCACATTGCAGGCAGCATATGCTCTCAAATCTTTCATTTTAAAAGATACAGGCAATGTGGTAAGCACTGATTTGCATTATACATGTGATATCATAATAATATGGTCTTTCTCACTTTATCACTGTAAGTCAAGTTTTCTTTTAAACGAGCTCTAAAAGCTTAACAGTATTTATAAAAAAACTAGCAAGAAATCAAAGATATAGCTCAAAAAAGAATTAGGCCTAGCTCAGAAAACAACAACAACAAAAAAAAAACCAAGGACATAATCTTCAACGACGACTAGGCTTAAGTTCCAAGCCCCTGCTGCTGCTGTTGTTGTCGTTCTTGTTGTTTGTTTTTTGTTTTGAGGCAGGGTCTTGTTCTGTTGCCCAGGCTGGAATGCAGTGGTGCCATCTCAGCTCACTGCAGCCTCAGTCTCTGGGTTCAAGCAATCTTCCTGCCTCAGCTCCACAAGTCGTTGGGACTATAGAAGCATGCCATGCTCAGCTGATTTTTGTATTTTTAGTAGAGATGGGGTTTCACCATGTTGCCCACGCTTGTCTTGAACTCCTGAGCTCAGGTGATCCACCCACCTCAGCCTAGAATTACAAGTGTGACCCACTGCGCCCTGCCCCATGTTACTGATTTTTGTTGAAAAATATGATAATACTTGTCAAGATCTGGATGTGTTCCCTAAAATTCATATGTTGAAATTTAATCGCCGAAGTGCGCTGTTTAGGGGGCAATTAGGTCATGAGGTTTCCTCCCTTGTGAATATGATTAAAGTCTTCATAAAAGAAGCTTCACAACCGGGCGCAGTGACTCACTCCTGTAATCCCAGCACTTTGGGAGGCCGAGGCAGGGAGATCACAAGGTCAGGAGTTCAAGACCAGCCTGGCTGACATGGTGAAACCCTGTCTCTACTAAAAATACAAAAATTAGCTGGGCATGGTGGCTCATGCCTGTAATCCCAGCTACTCGGGGGGCTGAGGCAGGAGAATCGCTTGAACCTAGGAGGCAGAGGTTGCAGTGAGCTGAGATCATGCCATTGCACTCCAGCCTGGGCAACAAGAGCAAAAACTCTGTCTCAGAAAAAAAAAAAAAAAGCTTCACAAAATACTCATTCCACCTTTTTTCCCTTCTACCTTTTGCCATGTGAGGG